TCCATACATACATACATACATACATACATACATACATACATACATACATACATACATACATACATACATACATACATACATACATACATACATACATACATACATACATACATACATACATACATCCATACATACATCCATACATACATACATACATACATACATACATACATACATACATACATACATACATATATACATACATACATACATACATACATACATACATACATACATACATACATACATACATACATACACACGCTCATCAACAAACAGATCAGTCCAACCTAAGCTAACTCTATACGTCTGCCAGGACCCAGTCAGTAATGTTACTGCTAGTACTAATAGCAACACATTCAACAGTGACATTACTGGTTATAGGAACGCTGCTAATTATAGTAACATTTCTAATTATAGTAACGTAGCTAATACTAGTAACGATGCTATAAATAGAAACAGAGCTAATGATAGCAGCGTAATTGGTGGTGCTTCCTCTGCTGATGATTTTGATAGGGAGATCGATACTATTTTCAACATTCCGACCGTAGCATCATTCGCATCAGTGCCATCTGCCTCTACTTCAACGACGACAATATTTAATTTCAGTACGAACAATCAGCAGCAGCAACTACAGCAGCCACAACATCTAACCACCAATCTCCTTGTCGCAAAATCCCGAGCCAAGACATTCAACCACTACAGAGGAGAGAGTGGTAGGAAGAAGTTTTTATTCTCAACGACCACAGCAACAACAAGAACAGCAGCAGCTGCTGTAGCAGCGACAACAGCGTCTAACAATACTGCACCGACGACGACGACAAATCGAAACAGCGATGATGATGTTCTTCTTGGTGAGGATTATTCAATTGCCGATGATTTTTCCACTGTCGCCAAGCGCAATTCAGCAGTTTTAAGGTCATCATTGGCGGCAACTGCAACGACTGATGCCACTGCGTCTAATCCTTTTGTGCCCTTCTTTTCGACACAACGACAGCAACTACAACCCCTTTTTCCGTCATTATTTGCGTCACCATTATCGGCATCCATAACTATATTCCCGACTACAACGACCACATCAGCCACAAAAACGTCGAAAACGACTATGACGACGACGACATTCTTCACTGGCAAGAGATCAATGCCAGATAAAGATGACGACGACACACACATGCATTCTGACCTGCACTTCAAAAAGCAGCGTATTCACCAGCCAGATCAATTGCCTAGAGACAGTATGTTGTCGTTGTTGCGGTTGTTGTTTCGTGTTGCGGTTGTTGTTGTATATTGTTATTGTTGGTAATATCGTCGGCCAGTGGTGTGGTTTGACCGACAGTTTTCCATGCAATGTATTTGGAGATGCTGACGGAGCGCCATCTTGCCTCGAAGCTCTGCTTACCATGGCATAGACGTGTTCGTTTGTGAGAAGTTGACCTAAAACGGAGAGTCATGTAAATCACGGATTATTAAGATTCTTAATACTGTTCATGTATTTTTGTTACCCAACAGTTTTCCATGCAGTGTATTTGGAGATGCTGACGGAGCGCCATCTTGCCTCGAAGCTCGGAAAATTATTTCTAATTAGGAAGAATAGAATATCTGGCATTCTGATACAGAATGTTCTAGGCTTCCATGTGCTTGTTACCGATTCCGTGAGTTTATTTATAAGTGGGAATGTCTTGGTGTGTACGCACGTATGCATGTATGTATGTATGTATGTATGTATGCATGTATGTATGTACGTACGCATACATGTATGTATGTATGTATTTATGTGTGTATGTTGGAAGGAGACCATATTTTATACAGTGTTGTATGAATTCTACCAAATTGTTGGCATTAGTCAGTTTAAAATTTGCTTTTTTAATTTTTCTTACTAGAATTGTTTAGAAATTGGAATTTATATATATATATATATATATATATATATATACTGATATATATATATATATATATATATATATATATATATATATATATATATATCAGTAAATTTCGGTAACAAATTTTCATTTAAGCATATTTCATTAAACGCGATGCTTATATTATTGTTATTTAATTTTTTATTAAGATTTTCTATCTTTCTTATTAGTTTTTTATAATTATAATTTAAATTAAAAATTAGAACACCAATATTCATTATATAATTATTTATTAAGCGACGTTTCGAATTTTATAATTCATCTTCAGGCAATTTAATATTAATTCAAATAAAACATAACAATAAACTGTCAGATGACGTAATAAGAGTTGAGCGCGAAAGTAACGTAACGATTAAAGTTAAATAACTACTTACTATATAGTGAATCTATATGTGTGTGTGTGTGAGTGTGTGTGTGTGTATTTCTATGTATAACAGGTATGTGTGTGTTTATGTATTTGTTTGTAATGCTCATCAGGTTATAAGGAATATGCAAGACCAGTCCAGCTTCATTGTAGAAGCCATCCCAGGTTATTATTATTATATATTGTATTTATTATTATGATTATTATTTATAATTATTTTATAATTATTATTATTGTTGTTGTTGTTCAGATGATGAAATGCTTACTTACTACAAGATCATCTTGAAAGCTGTGGAGCTATAAAAGAATGAAAGATCAAACATACATACATATATATATATATATGTGTGTGTGTGTGTGTATGTGTGTGTGTTTGATGTGCATGTATGTTGGTTTTTTTTGTATCAAAAGATGTTTTTAGATAGACCTTTTTTCATTTTTTTTGTGTAGAAGATTTTTTTTTAGAGTAAAACTTCGCAAGTGGTAGTAGCATTTATATAAGTTGCTGATGTTGTTTCTTGTAGGCAAGTTTTTTTTACATTATATTATTATATTATATCTAATTAGATTTGCAATGGTACCAATATTAATGTTATTCTCTCTCTCTCTCTCTCTCTCTCTCTCTCTCTCTCTCTCTCTCTCTCTCTCTCTCTCTCTTTAATTTCTCCCTCTCTCTTTCTTTCTTAATTTATTAATATCTGTGTTTGTTTGTCTGCGTGCGTATATAAGCTTACAATTGTGTTTATTGACACTTGTAAGTGTATGCATGTGTGTATGTGTTTGTTTGTTTACATTTTGATGAATTTATCTTATCTATCTTTACAAGCAGACACTGGTTTTAAATAAATATTAACATCACATAATTCGAATCGTTTAAAAATCGTAATAAAATATTTCACGAAGATTACTCATTTGTTGTTTTGGGTTCATTTAATAGTAGTAGTAGTAGTAAGAGTAGTAGTAGTAGTAGGTGTAGTAGAATTTTCAGTTTTCTTGACATTCAATTTATCAATTAATGAAATCATGTGCTCCAGTTGGCAGGAAATAACTTAACGCTTGTACATTTGTGTGTGTATGTAGATGTGTATGTGCGTTTGTACACGGACATATGTTAGTGTACGTGTGTGTGCGTGTGCATATATTTGTATGTAGGTGATTGTACGCGAACATATGTATTTGTGAGCATATATTCGCGAGTATGATGATGAGCGTATAATAAATGATGATGACGACGACGATGAAGATGATGAGGACGGGCGAAGTATTTTTATCCCCACTGATTTCAGCGACTGCCAAAGGTCTGATAACTGATTAAAATTACATTACACAGACTCCGAACGAATTTTCTATTTTTGAAATGCATTCCTCTCAGCCTCTCTCTCTCTCTCTCTCTCTCTCTCTCTCTTTGTCATTCTCTCTCAATATCGTATCCTCTGCCTTTGATACTGCAGATCATACTAATCTCTTGAGGCTGCTAGACGATTTTAATATTACTGATTCTTGTCTATCTTGGTTTTCTTCGTATCTCTGTAATCGTTTTTCTTCTGTTGTTCTTAATAATTCTTTTTCTAACTCTTCTACCCTTACTTTTGGGGTACCTCAGGGTTCTATCCTTGGCTCTCTTCTATTTATACTCTATACCTCTGAGCTACCTCGTATTATTAATAATTTTTCTTTCACTAGTCAACAATATGCTGATGATTCTTATATTTATATTTCTTTTCCTCCATCTAATCTCAATAGTGTTCTTCATAATCTATCTCTATGTCTTTCTTTGATTATCGCTTGGTCTGACTCTCTGTGTCTTAAACTTAATCCTTCAAAATTCGAATTAATTTGTTCCAATAAATCTAAACACTCTATTATTATTCCTCCTATTATCTTACCTGATTCTAAAACTCTTGATGTTTCTCACAAGTTTCGTAGTCTAGGCTTTATCTTTGATTCTAGCATGTCTCTTTCTTCTATAGATGTGCCAGGAAAATTTTGATTTTGATACAGGCAAAGAAACCGAGATAACTAACTCTATATAACCCTATATAACTCTACTCCATGTATCACATATGAACTTACATAAACGAGTTCGTATAACACAAGCTTGAATAGATTAGATAGATAGTATATACAGCATATATAGATAGGCATATATAAAACAGTGATATCATATAATGCATATCTCTAGCGTGTTATAAACTTGCCCTGATGAACAATTTTCGACATTTTTTTTCTCAATGCTGTAAAGATGTGATGTGGACAATCTACTTTAATCTCATTTTTTCGATCTAGCTTTTATATAATTTATCATTGTTATTATTGTTATTATTCGAAATTATTAGTTAAATCAAGTAGATATTTATTTTGCTATTGTTATTTCAAAATATATATATATATATATAGAAAGAGAGAGAGAGAGTGAGAGAGAGAGAGAGTTGTTTAGATTACTAAATTTTAATTATTAAATTTTTCTTCTAAAGTACGATTATTGAAATTAAATGTAATTACATACTACGGTCGTCTGATGTGATGTAGCCCTTTCTATGATTGGTTGACCATTTATATATGTGGGCTCTCAGTTATATTTCGCTTTCCTCTTCAAAAAGAAAAGAACAGAAGAGTACGTGGTCTTAATTTTATTTATTATAATTGTTATTTATTATTATTATTTACTATTATTTATTATTATAATTATTTCGATTCTTAACTCTCCCTTAGTTATCTCTCAGAGTAGCATCAACCATTACATGATTTCGTCGTCGTTCAGTTCGATGTTTATGAATAACTATAAATAACTTTTTATAGATAGGAATGCCATTCAAGCGCAACGACAGCAGCAACAACAACAACGACAGCAGCAACAGCAGCAGCAACAAACCAGCGTCAAAAAAACAACATCACCGTCATCTTCTTCCTTTTCAAAGCACCCACTTCCTGGCGAAACACCAAAAGACAGCATGGCTTCAAAGTTCATGAAAAAAAGATTGAATTTTTACGAGAGCAACGATAGCCAGGAAGCAAAAATCAAAAAAGAATTTCAAAATTTTACTGAGAAGAACCTGACAGTTACAAAATCATCGAAACCGAAACTCGCAGACCCGCAGAAAATTATCTCAAAATCATTGTCGCTAACATCAGATGACGACGAGTATCAAAGCGATGCAACAGCTTCAACGCCATCAACAAGGACAGCAGTTACAACACCGGTGACATTAAGGACAACAACAGCAACAGCTCTTAAGAAGCCTATCTTCAAGTCATCGGGCCAGTTTGAGAAGTATTACAGCGACTTGGATGAGGAGTGCCAGTCTGTGGCAAGCTTCAAATCGTCTACAGAACTGCTCAACGTCAACAACATCACATCTCCAGTCTTTCAAAGCTACCAACAATCGTCGCCACATTCACCGACGTTCTACACTAAGACCATTCTTCTACCAAAAAGTCTGCCAACTAGTCCCCAGACTATGAAGCGAGTACAGTTCACCAGCGTTATGCCCATTATGACCACTGACTCTACTAAAATTAGTGAAATTAGGCAGCCGAGAATTAACATTAACGGTAAAGTTGTTAGTGGGGGCGGTAATGATGATGATGATGATGGGGAAAGTTTCAAAGATGGCGGAAAAGCGGCGCGAAATTGGTGTAAACAGGTTTTCCAGGCTGTTGATAAGCTCAGCAGTGATATATACGCCGGTACATGTGTTGTTGTTGATGATAATGTTGATGATGTTGTTGATGTTGTTGATGATGTTGTTGTTGTTGTTGTTGTTGTTGTTGTTGTTGTTGATGATGTTGTTGTTGTTGTTGTTGTTGATATGTTGACGTCGATGTCGTCCATAATAATAAGTTATTCGCAAATGCTGTTTTAACTGTTCATTTTTCTTTATTTACTACATTCATCCATATTCATACCACCAATCTGTCTATCCATTCATCTTTTAACCATCAATGTATTTATTTTTATTTTATTTGTTTGTTTGTTCGTTCATTTGTTTGCTCGTTTCTCCGTTCGTTTATTCGTTCCTCCGTTCGTTCATTCAGTCGTTCATCATCACCCATCCCATGTTTATATATTTATTTACTTATCTTACCTAGTCATTATGTAGTTTTTTTTAACTTTATGCTGTGTTAATTACCAACCAACACTGATATCCCTCTCTCTCCTTTCTCCCTCTTTTTTTTTCTCTCTCTCTCTCTCTCCTTCATTCCTTTTTTATTACGATCTCTTTGATTTTCAAAATAAGCATTGATAATTATTATATTAATGCACATAAAAGCAATAGGAAAATAAAACAGTTAACTGCGATGCAGGTTTGAGATGATGATGATGATGATGATGATGATGAGGAGGAGGAGGATGACGACGATGATGATGATGACGAGGTTGTTCTTCATGGTGGTGATGATGATGGTGATGATGATGAATTTGTTGATGATGACGACGATGATTAAGATGATGTTGATAGATAACCTTTCGTCATTCATATTACGCTAGGAGAATGTGTTTTACTTGTGTACGTATAAATATGTTTTATGTATGTATGTATGTATGTATGTATGTATGTATGTATGTATGTATGTATGTATGTATGTATGTATGTATGTATGTATGTATGTATGTATGTATGTATGTATGTATGTATGTATGTATGTATGTATGTATGTATGTATGTATGTATGTATGTATGTATGTATGTATGTATGTATGTATGTATGTATGTATGTATGTATGTA